ATATTACAACCCTAAACTTGAAAGTAGCTAAAACATCAACTTGTTATTTGACCAAAATTTTCAACGATATTTAGGAACTGATTTTGCTTAAAACTTTACTTAGATTAAATCTTGCAATCTTAAAATATTCATTCCACATAAAATCCATAAGTGTGGAATGACTTAGCATATACCGCACTATACACAGAAATGTGTGATTGCCTTTTTACTGCAACATTTATTTTTTTTTAATATTTCCACAAAAGCATACTAGGCGTCAACACTAAAATCCTACAAAAGACTCAACAAAATAATCTAGGATTTCACCTAGTTTCATCATACCGACTATAATATTCATCATCTATTTTTGATTTCATTGCCTTAATTTTGTATTTTGAAAAACCTAACAATGGATTTTGAAAAACTTTACTGCTTTGACTAAGTTAGATTTCTCATTTTACATGATTGAAATCTGAATGGTCTTTAGTGATGATGATGAAACGCTTATATTTACTAAAAGTGATAAGTGGAAGTGATTCACAATTGTCATTATAAGTCAATTCTTAAGTTAGTTCCTAAACTTATCTATATCTGTTAATTACGACTGTATATTAGCAGTAAGATTACTCTTAATGCAATCTATACATGTGTCAAATTTAGAATGTCCTTAATGTTTATGCCACAAAATTGTAAACTTCATATCTATTCTACTAAGATTAGAATTAACGACCACATTATTAATAGCATGCGTAATTGAAGAGGATTGTCCAATGCTATAAATAACACCAGTATCCCATCATGAAAAATAAAAGGTATAGTATCTAGGTTAGATTCAAATGAAAAAGGTTAACAAAATGCCTTGTTTCACTTTCCAATCCAAAAAAACTTTTACTGAATGCCCTGTTGTGCTTGATTTATAATAGAAGTGGCACACATTTTCAAATTCCCTTGATTTTAAAATTTAAAGACATTCGTGGAATCGAAATATGAGTGGGTTTCACCAAATCCTTCTTCTTAAATAACTTTTAATGAGACCTTTCTTAATGATTTTTCATTTGACAGTAGTGTTAACCTATATCATCTAGAAAACAAAATGAGATTACTGGCTTATAATATCTCTTCCTCTTAAATGGTTATAACACTTACGGTATTTAAATTCCATACTTTTTTTTTGTAGTTTATGAGTGGATTTCTATCACTTTGTTACCCCAGACTAAAGTTATTCAAAAACTGTCACAGCAGGAACTAGTCCTGTTAACGTTGGTTATTTTCAGAATGTGCTCATAGAAACAATCTACCTCGTCTAACATGGTAGTGGTGAATGGTCTATGCAATTCAATATTTCTACTTTATGAAACTTTTCTAAACTGACTCTAACGACATCTTTAATTATTAGTGTGTAAGATGATCTATCTGATGCATTTACTAATGGTATACCTATATACCATTAGACAATTCTAATCAGATTATTTTTAGGAAGCACACTATCCTTTTATCCTCAACCAAGCTCTTAAAAGTGGGTATAGAAGGTGATCAACTTTTAGACTATTTTTGAATTCTCTATGCCTAAAACCATAAAAAATGATTCACCACATTTATCAAAATGATCCTATTTGATGATAGTTACAGAGACAAAGTCAAGGTTGGAGGTTTTATAGAATAACTCAAATTGATATTATGCATGTGAATAGAATCATGCCATAATAGTTATTCTATTAAATTTAGAAATTGAAATTTTCCCCAAGTATATTACAAAGGATAATATAGAACTAATTGGATATAACCCTAAAATGACTTGCTATTGATAAGGTAGCTAAATCTCATTATACTCTAATTAGAAACCCTTCATTCCCAAGCATCCTTTAAGGCAATAATCAATTAGACATGGAACTTCTTATCACTTTTAGAAATCTCAGTATTACAACTATTATAAGGGATTTGCCTTATTATTGTTTAGAATAAATTATCAAAAAAATCCTAAAAATATTCATGATTACTCCCATAATAGATGGGCCCTAATAAATCCAATTAATGATTTGTGCAGTTTAAGAATATTTACAAAATTGTCAGATTAAAATTTAATATAACTAAAATTTGCTATGTTTAGAAGCATATTCAAAAAATAAAGTCTGACAAAATTAATTAATTTGATTTAAAGTGAATATTTAAATAATAAGATAATTTTATTAGTTAAACGGGTTTTTACGAAATTAAATAAATTATTGATGGATTGGGTAAATATTAATTATTGAAATTAAACTAAATATATTATCTAAATAACTCATTTAGAACCCATTTAATTAGGTTGCATATTTTACCAAACGGAGTCATTAATTTTGGACCTAAAATATTTTACCAAAACTATTAATTATAATGTTGAGCAAAATGGGCAAAATTAATTAAATTAGGCTTCAAATTAATTTCAACAAAATTGGTCTAAAACAAAATGACCAAAATTCAGTACCAACAAAAATATTAATCATAATGACCGTAAGCAAAATGGGCAAAATTAATCAAATTAGGCCTCAAATTAATTTCAACAAAATTGGTCTAAAACAAAATGATCAAAATTTATTACCAACAAAACGATTTAAACCTAAATGGTTCAAATGAAATTAACATTAAAATTGGTCATAATTTAATTTAATGTGGACCAAAATCAAATAAATTTATTTATCCCCATTTATCAACAAAATGACCAAAATTAATTTAAGTTAATGACCCCAAATTTTAATTATTAAATTTAGCATAAAAAAGTAGTCAAATAATAAAAAGAAATACCCTTTAATTTTCGTTGAATGACCTAAACCTAAATGATCCAATTAGGAAATGATCCAAAGGAAAACATGAAAAGAAAGGCCCAACTTAATTAAACAAAACAAATTAGCCTAAAATTGACCAAAGAAAATGGTCCAAAGCCATTAAAAGAAGCGGCCTAACAAAAAATTTGGTAAATTTTCCTTCCCTTCCCCTTTTTTTAAGATCAGCCCGTGTACCAATCAAGGGGCATGTGGTGCATGCAACGCATGCGCCCAGGTTCAATAAACGGGTGCATGTAGAACAGTCTTTTTCTTGACCTGTTTGTTTGTAATTCGGATTATTTGACCCACCCGACCCGATCCACCCCAAATCTCACTATTTCCACACTGTTTTGAATAAAAAAAATCGTATTTCAACCATTTTTAAGTTTCACAACAACAAAACTACAATTTGGAGCCGAAAAAAAAAAAGTTGCGTGAGTTTAAAAAATCCAAAACTTCGAATTGAGCTTCAAAAACGATAACATCAAACCAAATAAAAAAGGTTAATAACCTTTTATAGCAAGTTTGTCTTTAATATTAATTGTTCAATTTGATCTAAAAATTCATTGAATCATTAACACAATTTAACTTAAATTAAAATTAATTTAAATGTGGACCACAGCTTTAGATTTAAGACCAAAAATGTGTTGCCATCATTACAAGCTTTTCAATGCCACTTTCTGAGCTTTGATCAAACACATGCTCAAGAGGGGAGGGAGAATTGCTCTTTACCTGTATAAACTAAAGTAATGAAATATAATGAGTCAAGAGGTGAGAGTAAAAATCTCTTCAAATATGTTAGTCAAAATTAAACCATCCCCTCATAAATTTAGATACAAAATTAAATCAAACACACTTAATTAAAATCACGTTACATATTTAGGTTTATTACAATATAATACTACTACAATTATTCATAATTTGATGCTAATTGACTTAAGCCTAGATTAATTAATTATGTTAGTTCATAATGTGTAAATGCAACAAACATGTGACAAACAAAAAATCCTTCAAGTACCATATTCAAGATTTTAAAAGTTTAAAAATCAAATTGAACATTTTGTTATAATTTAATAATTATTCATGATATTAACCTTTCTATTAGCAACTAAATTAATATACATTATTGTTTTATTCCCTAAAATAATAGGTAATCATGTAATTAAGCATTACCTTGTGGAATCCTTAAATTATTTATTCTACTAATGACGTTCTTTAATACTATACTATCTGCTGTAAAAACCTTTTCACCTTAATAAGATATAAATGAATTGCATGTCTAGTATACAAATATTAAAAATATTAGAAGCAATTTTACTTTTTTTTTAAATTTATATCTAATTTGTCATTTTATCCGCATTCATCTTTAAATATGTTACATTTAAGAAATCCAAACAACCTTAAACTCAAAAATAATATAAAGAGTAAATGGTTAAAGTATCTATTTATGGATCACATATATTGAATTAATATTAGTTATTATTGTAAGGACTTTAACACAATACATTAAACAATTTTTATCTATCATTTATTGAATTTTCTAATATTGATTTTAACTTTTTAAGCAAAAATAAATGCAACGTTAAAATAAAATTTAATACTGCATGAAATTATTTACTAATTGTTTCATCAAATTTAATTACTTGATGCTTAAAAATCTTTTTTTTTATAATGGACAATGATATGATGGAAATTAAAAATTATTTTTCTATTCTCATTTTTATTTTCCTTCAATCTTCTTTTTGTTTTTAGCAACTCACAATTTCGTAAAAGTTTTCATATTCATTTTATAATTATTTATATTTTATCTATCACCTTAAAAAATTATTTTATATAAATTTAGTGACCTAATATTACACTTATGAAGTGCTTTCATGAGATGAAATATTCTACATCTGATTCTAAGTTACCTACAAATTAATGTCTAATGTCGCAACCACAAATAAAAGCAATTGAAATATACTTTACACAATATTCATTTGCAAAGTAGTAATTTTTTTTATTAGTAAATGAGTCATAATTGTTTTAAAGAAATATTTTAATAAAAAAAATAAACGAATTTCATTTAGATATATAAAAAATGCTACAAAAATGCTAGATAATGAAAGCATATCTAAAACAACCATCTTTCAAACAAGATGTCTATTAATGGAAATATGAACTTACACATGCTAGATAAATAGCTGGTTGAGATATTTTTGATTTGGGGAGTGGAGTGGAGTGAAAGCTAAAATAAAATCAAGGGGAAGGTCTACAGATTTTTGAAACAAACAAAGAAACTTACTTTTACAATCAAGACCGTCCATTATCTCCTTGGAGTGGCATCCAACGGCTATCTCACATAAACAAAGAGGGAACAACTGCTTACCGTACGATCTCACTTCCAATATATTTCACTCTAATCCCTTCCTTCCTTCCCTCGCTCTCTCTCCCTCGAAAAGTTTCTGCAACTTTCGGAAATCTAACACAGGTAAGACTATCTCTCTTACTTCTTGTTCAATTAAATTATATTAAATATATCCCAAATTTCTGTTTAATTTTTATGACATTTTCGGTATAATTTTCTTTTAGAAATTTGTTTCTCTTTCTTACCTTTGCATTTCATTTGTGGTAGATAGATTTCTTTTGGTATTTGCTTGGCTCTGATTTTGCGCTTCTTTTTCTGTTCGTTTTCACTCAAATTATGCTCTGATTATGTCTTTTTTTCTTTTCTTTTGGCAATATTCCAAAAACTAACTTTTGTTCAAATCTGCATTGCCTCTCCATAATAAGTAATTGAATGCCTTGGATATGTTTAGTTTTTAGATCTGAAGCATCACATTGCACTCAACTTTTTTTTTATTTCTTAAAGAATGGATTCTTTTTATCATAATTTATTGAAAAGAAATAGTTTTATGTATTTAGAATTTAATTTTAACTCAATTGTTCTCATTTAGGGACTAAAATGAGAGAGATCCTTCATGTTCAAGGTGGACAATGTGGGAACCAGATTGGTTCCAAGTTTTGGGAGGTTGTTTGCGATGAGCACGGCATAGATCCAACTGGAAGGTATATTGGCTCCTCAGATCTGCAGACGGAGCGTGTCAATGTCTACTACAATCTGGCTTCATGTGGCCGCTATGTTCCTCGTGCTGTGCTCATGGACTTGGAACCTGGTACCATGGACAGTATCCGAACAGGTCCTTATGGCCAGATTTACAGGCCGGATAACTTTGTTTATGGACAATCTGGTGCCGGTAACAACTGGGCTAAGGGCCATTACACTGATGGAGCTGAGCTTATTGATGCTGTTCTTGACATTGTGAGGAAGGAGGCTGAGAACTGTGACTGTCTGCAAGGTAAAGATATTGTTTCTTTTAGGTTCTGACTGGTAATTATAGTTGCCAAACATGTTTCATAGAGTTATGCATTTTTATTGATAGAAGCCGATCTGATCTGCCATTGCAGGTTTCCAGGTGTGCCACTCATTGGGGGGAGGAACTGGTTCTGGGATGGGTACCTTGCTAATCTCAAAGATTAGAGAAGAGTACCCTGACAGGATGATGCTTACATTCTCTGTGTTCCCCTCACCAAAGGTTTCAGATACAGTTGTTGAGCCATACAATGCTACCCTTTCTGTTCATCAGCTTGTTGAGAATGCTGATGAGTGCATGGTTCTTGATAATGAGGCTTTATATGATATCTGCTTCAGGACTCTTAAATTGACTACCCCTAGCTGTAAGTAAATATGAGACTACAAAAGCATATGTTTTCTGTGTTTTGAATCTCCATTTGGTTTGATTCTTTTTACTGCATGTCATTCTTGACTAGTTGTGGTCGAGTCATAATGTTCTTTGCCCCAAGCTGAAGAGCTTGGTGCCTTGAAATCCTGAGGTTTAATCATTGGGTCAACAACTGGTTATAGATGGTGGTTGGCTATTAGTTAATGTAGAAAAGTAATTTTATCATGCAAAAAAGCTTTTGATACTTAAGGTTTCTGTTTATTTATTTATTTTTATAATTACGATTCTTAATCACCCCAAAAAATGTATCTAGGTTGTAAATATAATTTAAAAGTTGCAATCCAGTGATTTGTTTTGAGATTTTTGTTTAGATATGGTGTGTTCAAATAGGGGTAGAGCTACTTATCAATTTGTGTAGCTGAAGACCTAATGAAATCCAAATATCCTTTTTAAAAAACAGCAAATATGTACTCACACATGTATACATGCCATTCACACATTAAGTTCTGCTGAAAAAATACAGTTTGAGCCCAAAGTCGCCTTTCATTCTTTTTCTTTTTTTCTTTTTTTTTTTGGCAATACAAATACCTTTCTTGAAGAAGGGTGAGCTTAATAATAGCCAAAGTTTGTTACAAATTACTTGATGTTCTGATCACTTTGCCAGTGCTCAAATCATTTACTTATTTTGTTTGATATGTGTTGCAGTTGGTGATTTGAACCACTTGATCTCTGCAACCATGAGTGGAGTCACTTGCTGTCTCAGGTTCCCTGGTCAACTCAACTCTGACCTCCGAAAGCTTGCTGTGAACCTGATTCCCTTCCCTCGTCTTCACTTTTTTATGGTTGGGTTTGCTCCTCTGACCTCCCGCGGTTCCCAGCAGTATCGTGCACTTACTGTCCCTGAGTTGACCCAACAAATGTGGGATGCAAAGAATATGATGTGTGCTGCTGACCCAAGGCATGGTCGCTACCTCACTGCATCAGCCATGTTCAGAGGCAAGATGAGCACCAAGGAAGTGGATGAACAAATTATCAATGTGCAAAACAAGAACTCTTCCTACTTTGTGGAGTGGATTCCAAACAATGTGAAATCGAGTGTCTGTGACATTCCACCTAGAGGACTCCCCATGGCAGCTACCTTTATGGGAAACTCAACCTCTATTCAGGAAATGTTCAGGAGAGTTAGTGAACAATTCACTGCTATGTTCAGGAGGAAGGCTTTCTTGCATTGGTACACTGGTGAAGGTATGGATGAGATGGAGTTCACGGAGGCTGAGAGCAACATGAATGACCTTGTGTCTGAGTATCAGCAATACCAGGATGCTACTGCTGATGAGGAAGATGAATATGAGGACGAGGAGGAAGCAGAACCCATGTGAAGAGGCAAAATCTAAACAAAGCTGTTGGTAATGTACAATGGTAATGATTGAAGCTTGTGTTTGGTTTGTATGTAATGAAGAGTCTTCCCCTTTCCTGAGTTTGTCTTTGTTATGAGGGGTAAGTGCAGTTGTTGGTTAAGAAAAATGCCGGTTTCTCCCAGAAAATCATTATGATGGTGGAAGATAGGATGAGTGGGGAAGTTGTATATTTGTTTGAAAATAGTAATTTGGTGTCACCTATGTATTCTGGAGATGTTTCCATTTTGGTTTTTATGTGTTGTGCTATCGCTATATACTTTTTGTCTTTCAGTTTCGTTTACTAATGAGATTTGTATTCGAAACCATCGGCTTTGAAGTTTAGTAACTAGCAGTTCATTGGTTTCACTACCTCATTTTTACTCAAACGATGCTATCAATGGATTTGTAGAAAAATGCCCTTACCTCTTAAACAGAAAGCACGTACATTATTTGTTCAAGAAGTTTGATTCGAATTAGCCCTCCCTTAATCGCAATATTTTTAATAATTCTATCAAATTCTTACACTCCATTGCTACGTGTGGTATTTGAAACGAAGACTTTTGAGTTTAAGAGTATTAAACTAAATCATAGCTTAGTCATTATCTTATTTATGATGGGCCTAATTTGATTTGGTGTCACGAGTTAAATGACACCAAATCAAGTAATGTTCTCTAAGTTTCATATTTATTTCACTAACAATAGATGTTTTAATTATTTTTTTCATTTAGAAAACGTTTGGTATAAGGTATTGATCATTTTAAAAATTATTAGTGATCAAATCATTTTGATGATTTTACCATCATAATAATTAAATCACAAAAATCTATACTTATATATAAATAAGTAGTCTCCAATCTTCAATTTATTGTCAAAATCAACAATTATACTGCTCATTTGAGTGCCAAATCAGCCACTTTATTACCATATAAGCTTTGTTAATTAGTCATCTCATTATAACATCAGCATTATTAAAATCCAATTAAATTAATAGATTCATCTCCTAAAAAGCAAAGAAAAAGCAACAAAAATTTTGATAGCCCAAACCTGTGGCTATCTCAACAGAGCCAATGCCGACACTCTATCACAGGCTGTGGCCAAGACGAAACACCTTTTTAACCAAGCAGCCGCCTCCCTCAGCCATTATCATCAAAACACCCACCCAAAAACAACACAAAAGAAACATAACACATCCCCTGTAGTTGAGAGAAGCAGCATCAAAAGTAAAAAAAAAAAAAAGGAAGAGAAGCCAAAAACAAAGGGATTTCGGGTACGGGGAGTTTCAGGTAGATTTGGCTCATATCTTTTAACCTTGTAGATCTTTAAATATAAATAGATTTTTAAACATAAATGTTTAATTTATTCTAGTATACATATAACACAAAATATAATACAATAACATTTAAATCGTTTTAATATATTAATAAAAAATTTAAAATATATGAAATTGAAGATCACTGAAAATTGAAACACTATCATTTGATAAAAAATTTTTTTTCATCATGATCACTAACATGCTCAAGAACTTACTGAATAAAATAAAACAAGATTTTATACTTAATAATAAGTTATTTTTTATATTAAAAAAATATAAATACTTACTAAATATCATACTAAATATAATACATAAGTTGGTGGATCACTTAGATTGATTTTTGAAAATTATTCACAAAATTCATAAGAGCGTTGAATTGATCATACAACTACTTATGCTTTTAATCCATTTTAGCACGCTCTTCAGCTTTTTCTACTTTCATTTGCTGGATATGTTGTTGTATAGTTTACAACTCCTCTCTCAATATTGAGATTTCTCACGAAAACTAACTTGTTAAAAATATAAATGGCTAAAGTTATTTCCATAATGGCTAAATGGTGTTGGACCCAATCCAAGGCCTTAGACACATCTTGTCTTTCTTTTTTAACAATTTTTGTGAAAATTTGATCTTCCAATTCTTGCATGTTTATAGAACACTTGAATAATATTTCAATCTTAGCAGCCATTTTCTCTATCGCTTTCTCCTATAAATTAATTAAATAAAACTATCAAGTTTAATAATTAATTCATAATATATTTGAAATAGTAAATATTTACTTTTTGTATAAAATGAATATAAGAAATTATCACAATTTCTTGTGTTTCGACATCAAGATA